GATGCTGACAAAGTTCAGAGAAACAGTTTGAGGATGATGACAGATAAATTTCAGATCAACAAGATAACAGACAATGTTCAGATCAGCAGTTTAAGGATACTGACAGATAAAGTTTAGACCAACAGTTTGAGGATGATGACAGACAAATTTCAGATCAACAAGATAACAGACAATGTTCAGACCAGCAGTTTAAGAATGCTGACAAAGTTCAGACCAGCAGTGTGAGGATGCTGTCAAAGTTTAGTCAAACAATGTAAGGATGCTGACAATGTTCAGACCTGTAGTGTGAGGATGCTGACAGTAAAGGTTCAGATCAAGAGTGTGAGGTTGCTGACAGATAAACTTTAAGTCAACAGTGTGAAGTTGCTCACAGATAAACTTTAAGTCAACAGTGTGAGGATGCTCACAGATAAAGTTAAGACGCGCAGTATGAGGATGCTGACAGATAAACTTAAGACCAACAGTGTGAGAATGCTGACAAAGTTCAGATGAACATTGTGGATATGCTGAAAGACACAGTTTAGACTAATAGTGTAAGGATGCTGACAATGTTCGGACCAGCAGTGTGAGAATGCTGACAGATAAACTTAAGACCAACAGTGTGAGAATGCTGACAGATAAACTTAAGACCAACATTGTGAGAATGCTGACAGATAAACTTAAGACCAACAGTGTGAGAATGCTGACAGATAAACTTAAGACCAACAGTGTGAGAATACTGACAAAGTTCAGATGAACATTGTGGGTATGCTGAAAGACACAGTTTAGACTAATAGTGTAAGGATGCTGACAATGTTCGGACCAGCAGTGTAAGAATGCTGACAGATAAACTTAAGACCAACAGTGTGAGAATGCTGACAGATAAACTTAAGACCAACAGTGTGAGAATGCTGACAGATAAACTTAAGACCAACAGTGTGAGAATGCTGACAGATAAACTTAAGACCAACAGTGTGAGAATGCTGACAGATAACCTTAAGACCAACAGTGTGAGAATGCTGACAAAGTTCAGATGAACATTGTGGGTATGCTGAAAGACACAGTTTAGACTAATAGTGTAAGGATGCTGACAATGTTCGGACCAGCAGTGTGAGGATGCTGTAAAAGTTTAGACAAGCAATGTAAGGATGCTGATAATGTTCAGACCTGTAGTGTAAGGATGCGGACAGTCAAAGTTTAGATCAACAGTGTGAGAAAGCTGACAACAATATATAAATGAACAGTGTGAGGTTGACAATGTTCAGACCTGTAGTGTGAGGATGCTGACAGTCAAAGTTAAGATCAACAGTGTGAGGAAGCTGACAACAATATATAAATGAACAGTGTGAAGCTGACAATGTTCAGACCAGCAGTGTGAGGTTGCTGACAGACAAAGTTCAGATCAACAATATGAGGATGCTGACAAACAAAGTTTATACCATTAGCGTCAGTATACTGTGAGACAATTTTCAGACCAGTAGTGTTAGAATGCTGACAATGTTCTGACTAGCACTATGAGGATGCTGACAGACACAGTTCAGACTACTAGTGTGAGGATGCTGTTAACGTTTAGACAATGTAAGGATGCTGACAATATTCAGACAAGCAGTGTTAGAATACTGATAATGTAGTGTGAGGATTCTGACAGTTAAACAATAGCCACAAGAACACTACAGCGGGCTACATATGTACTTGAGGCATGGGCAAATAGATTGTATATCAGCATCAATACAGACAAATGTAGCACCACACTCTTCACTCTCTCTCCAAAGCAAAAGCGGGCATCATCAAAATAAACGGAATACCCCTAAGAGATGATAAAGAGCCCACGTACCTTAGAGTCACATTTGATGACAGGCTGACATGGAGAAAAACATATCAACAAGGCAGCAACCAAAGCCAGGAGGAAGACAGCCATACTAAGAAAACTAAGTGGGACCACATAGAGAGCCAGTGGGAAAATAATAAAATATACAAGTATAGCATACAACCACACTTGGAATGTGGGTCAACTGCATGGTGTTCAGCATCTAGTACCACATTAAAGGAGTTGGACAAAGTGCAAAATCAAGCACTCAAAGTCATCACAGGAGGAGTGAAATCAACCCCCATATTAGAAATGGAGAACGCTGGGAAAACACAGGCACTGAGAGAACGCAGAGATACAAAGTTGCAAATACAAGCTAAAAAGTTCCTCAGTATGCTAGATCACCCCATGAAAAATAGATTTCAGAACCTAGCCTTGGGACGGTTAAAAAGAAGCAGCTTTATACATCAAGCAAAAAGAATATGTAGACAAACTGCTGACCTTCCAGAAATTGGTTGTCCACTTAAAAGTATTCCAGAACAAACCCCATGGAGAGAGAAATGCAAACTAACAGTACAAATCCAGACAAATGTGAAAGGAATATTTGACAAGAAAAAGCAAGATAGGGTACAACGCAGAATGGCCACCCTCAGTTATATTGATGAAGAATATCCACAAGAACAATGGGTCAGAGTCTATACAGATGGGTCCGCAGAAAGTGCAGTTAGAATTGGTGGGGCTGGAGTGTACATAGAATTCCCAGATGGTACAAGGAATAAGTCCAGCGTACCAACCGGAAAGTACTGCCATAACTATGATGCAGACTCAAGATAGCAACAGAGAAACTGCTAAAATACCAATCTTGGCTCACAGAATGTGGTAACGCTGACAGATGCAAAATCAGTACTTGAAGCACTCCAGTCTAGGAAACTACTAGAATTGCAAACACTGCTGACACAACTTAGCTTTCAGCGAAGAGTTGTAATGAATTGGATACCGTCATATTGTGGAGTGCCTGGAAATGAGAAAGCTGATCAAATGGCAGGAAAAGGTGCGACAAAAGTGCAGCCAGATATACCAGTCACAAACCACCAAAAGAAAAGAATAATTAAATCGATCAGGAAACCACCAGCCCCAGCAGAAGACGACTGTTTTATTATGGACAGATCAGAACAAGTCATTATCCTCCGCCTCGGAACAGGGCACAACCGATTACGTAACCACATGTACACAATTTTAAGATAGGCGTATCAGCCATGTGCATCTGTGGAAAGGTGCCCCAGACAGCAGAGCATGTACTCCATGGACTGCACCGAATTTGACACATTAAAGCAAACTTTTTGGCCAGAAAGAACAACAGTGGAACGTAAACTCTATGCACCATTAAATGAACTCACAACTACAGTAAAATTTATACAAGAGACAAAATTGCTGATATAGACAACTTATTTTAGGCGAACAAAAGAAGAAGTATGCTCGGAGACAATTTTCAGAGCAGTAGTGTTAGGATGCTGGCAACGTTTAGACCAGCTGTGTGAGGATGCTAACAAAGTTCCGACCAGCAGTCTGAGGATGCTGACCAGAAAAGTATATTCCAGGAGTGTCAGGTATGCTCACAGACAATGTTAAGATCAGTGGTGTTAGAATGCTGACAACGTTCTGGCTAGCACTATGAGGATGCTGACAGACACAGTTCAGAGAAAGAATGTGCAGATGCTGACAAAGCTCATACCAGCAGTGTGAGGATACTGACAGACAATGTTCAGACCAGTAGTTTAAGAATGCTGTCAGACAAAGTTCAGACTACTAGTGTGAGGATGCTGTTAAAGTTTAGACAGTGTAAGGATGCTGACAGTGTTCAGACAAGCAGTGTTAGAATACTGATTATGTTCAGACCTGTAGTGTGAGTATTCTTACAGTCAAATTTCAGACCAACAGTGTGAGGATGCTGAAGGACAAAGTTCAGATCAAGAGTGTGAGGTTGTTGACAGACACAGTTAAGATTAATAGTGTGAGGATGTTGACATGAAAGTTAAAATAAATAGTATGAAGCTGACAATATTCAGACCAGCAGTGTGAGGATGCTGCAGATAACGTTCAGACCAAAAATGTAAGGATGCTGACAATGTTCAGACCTGAAGTGTGAGGATGCTGACAGACAAACTTAAAGACCAGCAGTGTGACGATGCTGTAAAAGTTTGAAGACAATGTAAGGGTGCTGACAATGATCAGACAGACAATGTTATGATGCTGACAATGCTCATACCTGTAGTGTGAGGATGCTGACAGTCAAATTTCAGACCAACAGTTTGAGGGTGCTGACAGTCACATTTCAGACCAACAGTTTGAGGGTGCTGACAGTCACATTTCAGACCAACAGTTTGAGGGTGCTGACAGTCACATTTCAGACCAACAGTGTTGGGATAGTGACAGACAAAGTTAAGACCAGCAGTGTGACAATGCTGTAAAAGTTTGAACAGACAATGTAAGGATGCTGACAATGATCAGACAGACAATGTTAGGATGCTGACAATGCTCATACCTGTAGTGTGAGGATGCTGACAGTCAAATTTCAGACCAACAGTGTGAGGATGCTGACAGTCAAATTTCAGACCAACAGTTTGAGGGTGCTGGCAGTCACATTTCAGACCAACAGTTTTGGGATAGTGACAGACAAAGTTCAGACCAGCAGTGTGAGGATGCTGACAGGCACAGTTTAAATCAGCATTGTGGGGATGCTGACAGAGAAGTTTAGACTAAGAGTGTGAGGATGCTGACAGACAATGTTCAGACCAGTAGTCTGAGGATGCTGGCAAATTAAAGATCAACAGTGTGAGGATGCTGACAAAGTTCAGACAAGCAGTGTAATGAAACTGACAAAGCTGACACATGAAACCAATGACTGCTAGACTGCATCCGTCTGTTGCAGAATATATTCTTCACCAGCGTCTCAAAGTGCAGGTTTAACAGAGATTATTTGAAAATTAGCACACATTCAACAGCAGATAATGAGGTTATTGTTATGATGTGCATAAGATGATATAGTCTGTACATTTCTGGATGCCAGAAGACTTTAACACACAAGTGCACCTGATGAAAGCTAGTGTGTCATAATTTATGAATTATCCTGAAGCAGACAGCATCTTTCTTATATCGTTGAGCAAGATATCCAGTCCTCTTTTAATGCCACGTGGGTATATTCTTTTCCTGTTGCTTAAGAACAGTAGAGAAATGGAGGGAAATGAGGACAGGATGCAGAATTGCTAATCTGATGGTAAGAAGAGGATGGCACTGGACAGCTGTACAAATGGTTACTACTACCATTGGTATCAAATGGTCCATAGAAGACCTGGTCAATAACGATGTCACTGAGTTGATCCAACGGATGCAGCTCTGCACATCTGACCTGTGTTTTTCTTTCCTGGGCCACATAAACTTGATAAGCCAGTTGGTGGATCAGGTTGAGTGTTTGCCTTCTCTCATGACCCATCAGGCAGATAGTGCTTTCATCCACAACCCGGTATAATGTTGTCAGGTACTCATACTTCATGTCCTCGTCGCCATTGAAGTGATTGGCCAGATAGGCTTCCAATTTCTGACGCTGCTGATTAATGTCACTGAAATCTATAAAAAACCGTGAACACATATATCTCTCCATGGCTCTAATGTCACTCTCACTAGCTGGTGTGTAACCACGAACAAGCAGGTTGCAGTATTTGAGTAAACCACCACCACGAATCTCTTCTGGATTTCTGGTGGCTATCAGTTTGTTGTCCAGATGGTACCAGGCTTCTGAGAAGTCTCCATATAAGCTTTCAGCCACTACAGTAGGATAAAAGTGCTCTGACATCGACGCTTGGGAAATATCATAAAAGGTCAACAGACTATCTAGAATAATTTGAAACGAGTCGACACTAAACTCAAACTGGCGCTTCATTTTGTCTACAAACTTTAGTTCCACGTTCTTTCTTGTATCATGAGACAGTGAGATCAGACTCCACCTATCCCCGTGCTCGTTGCACACTTTGACCATTTTCTGGACGTAGGCTTCTTTCAGACTACAACTACTCATTTTCTCCTTGTTGGTGCCGTCTGGGAGAAAATTGTTTAAACACCCCAGAACGCAGTTGCGAATTTTCTGCAGTTCATTCTGGTTTGAGAGATCCACTCCGAAAATAAGATCGACATCGTTGAACTCCTGGGCGCTGGTTGCTCCAAGGGTGTAGCTGGCCGCGCCACCGTTGAGGCGAATATCTCGGAGACTGACACCGTCAGCCAGGAGTCGGTCTCTGACAAGCTGGACCAGGGTCTTAAGTTTGACGTCAAGCGTGGGGAAGTTGGCCCGCCCGTGGACAGGCAGCACGTCCTCCATGACTTGGTGCAAGCGGGCCACTTGCTGGTAGCACAACACTTGGAAGCGGTTGCTTGAATTCACGCAGGTCATGTCGGCTGCTGGCGAAGGTAAAGCCGTGTCAAAGGTAAGAATATCAACCAGGGAGATGTTACACACGGCCGGAGCCTACCTGGAAGAGCGGAGCTGTGCGATTTGCTGGACACATGTGCAGGCAGCAGCAGATGAAGCCGACTTTAGTTGCTTTCTCTTCTTCTCCAGCCCCAGCACCGCGTCCTCCCTGGCATGTCCCTGCGCGCCGGTACCGAGGCCCGCTACCGGCACCGCCCATTTCCTCTCCTATCCCCCAGCAAAAATGGCTGGAGGACATTAGAACACTTCTGAAGCTACAAAGAAACAACCATTAGATGTGTTCACAAGTGTCGATCAAATGTCAACTTTTGAACTATTACTGTCATATAAAATCATTGCGCGCGGACAGCTAATAGAGAAAAAGGCTTCCATTGGCTGAATAAATGTCGTTGCTTCTTTATTTTCTTCCTTCCTTTACTACCCAGTCTGTTCCCTTCTCCGTTGACTTTTGGTCTGTCATTATTTCTGTGACCATGTGGATTCCAGTTCCATTCTTCTAGTTATATTGTTCTAGGGGTTTCACAACATGCATCCAAGCCAACGCAGGCGTCGTTTCTTTGCCTATTGATTCAGTGGAAGTAGTTTAATTTTTATCCAAAAGTTCCACCTGAGTTATTCTGCCATACCGTTTATTCATCTATAGAAGCTGTTTAATTCTCCTTCAAAGTTCCACCTGAGTAGTTGAGCTGAGTTGAGTTGAGTCAAGAATAGACATCACTGCACTCGGGGCATTTCCTGTGCATGTTCCGTCCTCATCTTCAGCAGCCAGCGCAGTTCCAATGTTGATGGTACCGTTCACAATCTTGTTAAATGTCCGTCTTGCCTTTCCTCTGAGTGTATTGAGCCGGCCAGATTATCTGGTTACACCCAGGTGCCTCATTCTCTCCAGGCCAAAATAATCTTGTTTCTCTACTGATTCTGTTGCTTGTTTCCAGAGGGCCTTGACCACATTTGCCTTGTCATGCATCAATTCACTACCCAGTGGTGCAGATCCAGCCAATCTGCCTGTTCATTACCCACTACGCCAGCATTGCCTGGAGAAAAAGATCCAAAGTATGCTCAGTACTCGTGACTCTCCCAGTAAAGCTTGCCATTCTGCATCCCTGTCTTCACCTTTCTCAGCATGTTTCAGAGTCATTTACGACATGTGTATGCATCTTGTTCTCTAGCCACTGGAGAGGTGCAGTTACCGCGTCAACCTTCATTCTCGTGTTAGATGTCGTGATGTCGTGTGCTAGGCTGTCTTGCACTAAAGAAGTTCCATTATCTTTCGCTACGAATCCCCATGCACTTCTCTTTCCTCTCGACACCGAACTACCTGTTTATCAGATCACCTGGGCGTGAATTGTCGTGAGTAAACAGTTGGACTTCCACCTTCGTAGCACCCGCTGGCCACTTTCTACACTTCCGGCCTAAGGTGACCATAACCCTACACAGGTTAGACTGTTCCTCTGGTACTCTGACCTACTACTCTACTCGCCCAATGTTCTCCAGCAAGCATACTTGTCTTATTGTGTCTTTTGCTTGATCCATCCACGATAACCACCCCACTCCCTTTTCAGCCTCTGACCTTTACCTGCAGCAAAAGCTTCATACAGAGGGTGTTCACTGTCTGCTGCTACTCTGAGGTTTGACTTAACCTGCATCACCTTTAACCTATCTAAAAAAAAGTCGGCATCAAGGATGTATCGCATGCACACAATCTGGGTGTGAATTGTGTACATCCCAGGATCACCCGCGCTCCAGTTTCTCTAGCTGACTCTTCGAGACAGTGAGCAATCCCAAATCCTTAATCAGTCACTGAGATGACTAAGTGCTGGTAAAGTGTGAACAACATTCTCTGCTTCATTTCCATTGCTGCCATAATCTTTAGTGCATTAAGACCTTTTTGAGCATTTGTCACGACTCCCTCTATATGATCCTTAAAATATAACCTTTTGTCAAAGGTGACACCCATGCACAGCAATCTGCCTCTTGTGATGTCCCTGCCATTTATTTTGAGTCTGGAACATCAGCTCTAACAATCCTATTGTCCAAAGAACATCACAGGACGGTTGCCTTTTCTCTGTACACCAGTTGATCACTTACCCTATGTACTGTCGCCAGTAACTCTTAACTTTTTGAGTCCCAGAGTGTTTAGCATCACAGGCCCAAGGGGTATTCAAGAGAGACGTAAAATCCGCGCATCATGCGTTAATTGGGCTTCTGGGCAGTAACCTATGAACGAATGATGCGTTCCTTGGGACTCAAAGAGTTAAACTATTTGATCCTGATGTCTCCCCTTCCTATATACGCGAACATCATCTCCAAATGTCAATATTCTGCAAACTCCATGTGTTTTCAGGTATGCAATCTTGCTCGTAAAAATATTGAACAGCACAGATGAAATTGCAGTTCCCTGCGGTAGTCCTGGAGCTTTAACAAATGGTTCAGAGGTCCATGAACGCAGTTGGAGAGGTACCCGGTAGTTGTGGTAGCCAGGATGATACGCAAATTATTGCTCCTGATGCATTCTCTAATCTCTTGTGGCCTAGTTCATATGGCTAGTATGATTGGTGAACAGTAATGTTAATATACTTAGCCAGTGACTACCTGGGATTAGTAGGCTTGTGAGCTAAATAAATAAATGGGTAGTCGATAACTTTGAGTCGAAGCCAGACTAACTCTACAATTATTATGAGTACTTAAATAAACATTCTTTGAGAATTAAAAACACTGAAATCAGTGCAGAGCAAAAGGCTTCTGAAAACAAGATGAAGCGATATCAGGCTATCGTAAAAAACTTCACTAAGGGCATTTCGGTCTCCGCATGGATCTCCAGCTCAATGATGAAACACTACTCTGTTCCTAAGGAAGAATGGCACACACTCTTTCACAGACATCTAGTTCTAGAACCCTTCAAAATTGTAGAAACGATACTGGAAGAACTCCGTACAGCCTATGAGTATGGGAGAGATCAAGTACTAGCATATTTCAGTCTTGATAAAAACTCTGGCACCAAAAAGCAAGCAGACGTTCGTCGACTATGTCGCAGAGGTTCAGAGTACTATAGATAGATGGCTGAAAGCGGCAAAAGTCAAAGACATTCCACTTATAGAAAGATTTGCTTGTGCGTGATAAACTTTTAGTCCCAATTCCTGCTAGTGTGTCGACGTTCTTACAAGAGAATAGATGCACATCAGAAGGCGACATAGAGAAAAAAAGTGAGAAGCATTCTTTTATGCCCATAAGGAGATTTTCGCGACCTGCCCCCAACCCGATCTAACTTTCGGTGCTACTGCGAGATTTTCTTAAGAGAGAAGTTCCTATTGCTATCAGTAAGATAGCACATAAAAAATCTTCGCCGTCGAGGTAGGCGCAAGGAGTCTCGTTTCCACTTCAATGTACAACGTGATTAAACAACTAGGCTTACGAGGGAATGAACGCAAACGAGCACTAAAACAACTGGACGAGTTGCTGAGAGGGCCTCGAGCTGGCTCTGGACACAACGGAACGTCGTGGGGGACGGGCCTCGGTGAGCTGGTCCGGGTGTCTAGTGGAAAAGAATGTATTATCCCTTATCCGAATTGTCTGCCAGTGTCCCTCTGCCACCTGCCAACAAAGTCCAACATGTGTCCGGTAAACCTTACGTAAGCTTGTCACTTGGTCGTCCAGGTAAGCTGACTGCTCTAATTATGCTACCGCAACGACTTCGTATCTCACAGTACCATTTGCAAAGTCACCAATTCGTCTTGTCCCTGTCCAATAACATCCGATAATACGTGCAGCAGGAAAAAATCAACCCTGAGCCTCATAAACTTAGGTGGGCCCACTCTCTGAAAATGTCTAGGAGCTCGTGGGCCGAAACATTTGTCGACGAGAGATTACTTCTACTGATGATTGGTAGACTCATGCCGTACATACTTCCCCCGTGGAGTTTCTTCTAATAATTGTCGGACATTATTTAGGTACGTAAACAATTTGACGTTGATCTGAAAATATTTCACTGCATAAGCGCAAATGATCCGGTGTGTTCTGTCAGAGGTCAAACAACAACCAAGTGTGAGGTTTAAACGTCGCATCTTTAAAACTTTCTTGGACGTAGGCAATGCGGCCAGAATACATCTGTTTGGCCAGATTGGTAATCTGTGAGCCGGCGCGAGGGTTTTTAAAAATTATGATGTAATGCGAATTGAGACTGGTGGTTCTTTGTTCTTTATTTTTTCCAAACACGTTTTTACAATATAAATAAAGTTGACGTTGCGATGGTGACTGCCTTTAGTAAACAACTTGATGACTCTGTTGTCTGTCTCATACATGAAATCGTCTATAGCCTCTAGTCGTCGCCTATTACCGCGCCATTGTTCCATGTCGTGCAGGCCTTCGTTAAAGATGACACCCGCCATGTTGTCATAGAGGGGTTGCCATTCCCCATAGCACCAAATAATCTCCTCCGGTACCGGGTCGACCATATCAACCAGATTTTTTTTAAACTGTTGCACAAAAAACGGTTTTACTACTACCCGTCAATGCTGAGAAGGGATGTTTCCACTTAGGGTCCATGGCTAACAATAATATTGTCAGTCTCAAACAGCTTGTTTTATCATGTTAAAGAGACATATTTTCAAATTGTTCAATTTTACCAAAGAAAATATAAAATTAAAAAACAAACAAAATTCTGAACTTTTTTCCACGTTTGGATCACGACCCCATCAACAACTATATTCAACCCACATTTTTCTCTACAGGCCAGCCCACATTTCCAGTCTCAAGTCGCTCCACATTTCCTACAACCCACATTCCCACAATTCCCAAAACCCACATTTCCCACAACCCACATTTCCCAAAACCCACATTTCCCACAATCCACATTTCCCACAACCCACATTTAACCAACATTTCCCACAACCTACATTTCCCACAACCCACATTTCCCACAACCCACATTTCCCAAAACCCACATTCCCACAACCCACATTTCC